GTCAGGAGGAGGAAAAGAGTCTCTTCTGAATATGATCCTAGCTCTGAAACAAGAAAAAGAAGAACTGACCAAACAAAACATGAAACTCAACAAGGAGCTCTCAAGCCTCGAGACAGCGCTAGAGATCCGTCAGGAAGAGATGCAGCTTATGGAAGACCGAGCGGAAACTCTCGAGAGAAGGATTCTCGAAGGAGTCCTTGACCACGCTCGGAGCGTGCTTCTCAGCCGGCCCGGGAACCACACGCATAACATGAATCTGAAGCGGGTGTCCAGCTCCGCCAGTACTGCTACCAAAGCCAGCCGGGTCAGCACTACCAGCATGGCAAAGGACGGCCGTAACTTGGTTAGCAGCGGTGTTGGAATGGCACTCAAACGACGAAATGCATCGAAAGTCAGTCACAACGGATCTGTCGTGTCCTCCAACCCGGGGAAAGAGCGCAGGATCCTCAGTCTGAGCCATGTGACTGGAAACAAGGGTTCCACTGACCGCCCGCTGACGATGGTGCCGGCGGGCAACGGGGCGCTGACAAACCTCAAGCGGAGTCACTCGGTCAAATCTAACCTGCCGTCGCGCAAGACCTCGTGGGGCGGAAATGACGCTGTTGCCAACAAAGAGAATGAAATTGTGCAAGAGGAGGAAGAGCATGACAGCGGAGCAGAGAGTGATACCGGAACGCAGAGACGGACGAGCTATGCCGGCACCTGTCCCGACAGCTTGTATGACCCGAGAGACCGGAAACCTAGCTACGCCAGTTCCATCAACGGAGTAGTCGCTGAACACTCTGGGTCCATCCTCGAAGAGAATGATGAGGACAAAGAGAATCGGGAAGCTGGTGACGGGGAAGATTACCAACAGACCGAAGGCGACCCAACCAGTGCAGATCTGGACGAGGTCCCTCAGGAAGGACTGTCCGAACTAGAGCCGCCGCCGAAAATGACTGACATGATGCCTGCTTGCAGCGACAGTGGCATCGGGACAGAGATCAATTAGGGGCATCAGTGTCAATGGGGGGATGACACTCGAGCTCCTGGTTGAGATGCCAATCTTGAAATGAGAACCATGGATTCGCTACAGGGACGCCATGCCATGCGTTTGGATGCTGTTTCTTCCAGGGATACATGATTGGTACGCGATTCGAGTGAAGGAGTTTCGGGTATTTATGACATTATATGGACATATCGATACCTTTTGCTTGATCGTTGCATGCTGGGTCAAAGACCCTGTTGACACTGCCGACCGACTCTCTTTTTTTTCCTTTGTTACGATTCATTTGTATTTACTTTCCCTAGCCAATGGTTACGAATGATGATGATATCCACGTGAATATTTTCCTGAGGTCAGAAGTCCACGAACCCATGCTCTTCGTGATCAACGTAGTTGTTGGCACTTACGCATGCGCCAACATGCAGCGAGAGGCTGGTCAAATGAGCAGGCTCAGGTGGCTGAGTCAGCCATCCCCAACAGATTGGCTCCAAACCAGTTAAGTTAGGTGCCTGCCCTGGGAGCTAAGCCCGAAGGAGTTAAGCCAACGTCATCCGCCCCAGCAAGAAGAGCGACGCGCGCCAGGAACACGATAGGGCCATGCGGTGACCTGCCTCATCGAGACGGCAGCCCCCAGCTTCTCTCTCAAAGAGAAATAAATTCCTTCCTGGTATACGGGCCTGCGCCTGGTCTTGTCTGCCTAGACTTCATCACCAGTCTCTCCAGGCTTTCCTTGTTCTGCTTTTGATCTTTATAGATTCTGGCGGCTTCCGATCTTCAGTAGCGGAGATGACTTCCGCCTAGTCACCGCCTTCGTTATCTTTGATTTCCCCCAACTTCGTATCATTATTATTTCCTTTGCCCCTTGGCTTCTTCCCTTTGATTTCTTTATCGTCCTCAGGGCGAGGCGCCGAGCGTCACCATGCTGGACCCTTTCCCTCCACCGCCTGGGTGGCTCAGGGACTTGGTGACCCCCTGGGCAGTCTATTTCAATCTGCATTCGTTGCCGAACCACATCCATGAGATTCTGGCTGCTTTCGCCTTCTACCAATTCGTCCACTCGTATCTTTCTCCACGATTGTCGGCGGCGCTTTTTCCCCGGTTCTATCCAAATTTTCCGCGTCGTACGCAGCTTAACTGGGACGTCCACGTGGTCTCTCTGCTCCAAAGCACGCTGATCAACTTGACTGCGCTATGGGTCATGTTTGCGGACCGCGAGCGGAAAGGCATGACTGCGGAAGAGCGTGTGTATGGATATACTGGTGCCTGCGGTCTGGTGCAGGCATTGGCGACGGGTTATTTCTTATACGATCTCATCGTGAGCACCGTATATGTCAAGATGTTCGGGGTGGGCATGCTTTTCCATGCCATTAGTGCACTGTGGGTGTTTGCACTTGGGTTTGTTCGTAGTCTCCTTCCTTATCCTTACCTTCTTTACGCGGGATCTGAAGAAAGAAACATTATCCGTTTACTCGGAATTCTAACATCCATACGTCCAGAGACCGTTTGTCAACTTCTACGCTCCAACATTCATTCTCTATGAGCTCTCTAGCCCATTCCTCAACATCCATTGGTTCTTGGACAAAGTCAACATGACGGGCAGCAAGGCACAGTGGTATAATGGAATAACGCTGCTGGTCGTTTTCTTCTGTTGCCGCTTGGTCTGGGGCACCTGGCAGTCTGCCCTCGTCTATATCGACATGTGGAAAGCGGTGAAACAAACCTGGACTGCACCTCTCTCATCCGTTTTGGACCCAGTCAACACCAACGCTACAGTGTTTCAGGAGCGAGACGGGATTCTCTGTGTCGATGAAGCATGTGCCAGAGCAAATGCGGAGATCTCTTACTTTGCTCACCGGGCCGCAGGTGGCGTTCCGATATGGTTGGTCTTGACATATGTCGCCTCCAATCTCATCCTCAACGGACTCAACTATTACTGGTTCTCACAGATGATAGAGGCGGTAATGAAGCGCTTCCGGGAGCCCGCTATCCCGGCCAAGAAAGAGAAGGAACCCGGTATTACCAAGGTGGAGGTTCAGCCAGATATTGTGCTCGATGCGGCTGGGAAATTGAGAAAAGAGGAAGGTTACTTCGAGACCGGCGACGGAGCGGAGGAAAATAAGACATCTGCCGTCGACGCCTTCGGCAGCGAGACTCTGAGAAAGAGGATATAGACTGGCCTCTTTTACCTAATTTGACCGTCCTTCTTACTGTCAAAGCTTCTTAGGCTGTGCTGATGGACCATTTGAAAACCATCGCCGTCGCCTGGTAGTTATGATGTTAAAGAAAGGGATTCGCTCCGTCGCCATCGCATTACTCCTGTCTTTCGGGTTGGAACCATTTGAAGGAGGCGCTATCGGGTATCTTCGCAATCGAAATATTTTGCCTATGTGCAAGAAGTTCTTTTTTTTATTCTCCCAATGATACGCAATGTGAGTCGAAACTCTTAGACACACATGTGTCTTTAGCATAGCTCTCTTATTATTTTCGGGAGATTCTACAAAACACGAAAAACAAAAGTCCTTCGAGACTACAAACCAACATTTTTATAGGTTCACGTGATATCTAGTGGTCTGCAGCTATGCATGAAAGACAAATAAATAACAGCTTTTTTTCCCCCCAAAGTCTACCAAACGAGATCAGAGACTAAGAAAAACATAGACGTATTACATTGTACAGTACAATACAGACTTTTCAATCTTCCGCACAACCCACACCAGCGCCTGAGGTAGTACCTTCCCATACAATTCTTGAAGTAGAAAAAAACATGCCCATCAGTAAGTGTAAAAGGGACACAAAGAATCAAACATGGCAAGAACACAGGAACGGAATCGAAGAAAATTCCGTACAAGAGACAATCGGACGAAGCTGACACGTATTGCCGCGATCACCGAGCAGCAGCAGCGGCTTCGGGTTTGGCAAGCATGTACCGGACCGCTTCCCTGGCCACAGGGGCGTTCCAGACACTGTTGTCACCACCGCGTCTGAATTCAGGCGCATTGCCATCCTCACCACCACCGCGGGTGGCCTCGCCCAGGATTGTCTCGAGGTCTCTGCGCTGGGAGTTGAGCCAACGGCGGATGAAGTTGGCTGGGTCTTTGCTGAGGGCGGTGTAGAAGGAGTGGCGGGCCTTGGAGTGCATCAACGCCTGGATGATGAGGGCGAGCTGGTCATCGAGCAGGCTGATCTGCCGGATTGAGGCCGCGTACTGCGGGTTCGAGGTCAGGGCGATCATCTTCTGCCGCAGCGGATCGTCTACCGCCACGCGAATGTCATAGATGGTGGGGGTCGGATTCCTATGGAAGTCCTGGTCGACACGAATCGTGTAGGGTAACTTGATGGGATCAAGAGGAGTCGTGTGCGCGCCGATGGCATCCGGGATCTGTGGGAAAAACATCTGCTCACGTCCGAAGATCTGTGGAAAGCAATTAGTATCGGTGAACAAGAATGTTAAAAGGAGAAATCCACGTACAGCTCTCAAACGATCGTCGCAGCGGACTTGTCGCTTCTCTTCATCCTCTTGCAGACCCATGGTTCTAATGTAGTCCCAGATTCCGAGCACAATCCCGCTGCGGGTTTCTTCCTCCACGTCAAGGACTTCAGCCAGTTCCTTACTCAACTTGTATCTTTCGGGGGTCTCGTCCCTCACGAGACTCACGGTAATGTTCAGATTCTCTTGCGAAGGACGGGAGAATTGCAAGGAGTCAAAGTCGGCGTTGGGAGGTAACGAGGTTGCATTGGGTGGCAATTGGGGCTTGGTCCAGGTGATCGGGGCGATGTCTTCAGGTTTTGCTGTCGGCGTCTTGTCAAAATCGATGGTAATGGATTTGAAGAAATGCGAGAACCGCTGTCGTGGCCGCTTTGGTAGCCTGGATTTCTTGGATTTTTCTTCCTTGGGGCCATCCTCATCCATCGCATCGCCGTCCTTCTGCGCATCGTCTCCATCATTCTCATCGTCGCTGTCATCGGCAGGGACGGTAGGGTCGCTGTCATCATCCAACAGTCTTCCCTCGATTTTCACTTTGTAGCGTCCAGAACCGGGGTTGGTGGCGCCGCCTGTTCCGTTGTGCTCGCCGACCTTCTGCCATGGCTGATCCTCCACCGTGTTGGAGATCCAGATGCGGAGAGTCCGGTATCGCTTGACCGTCCGGCTGATCGAATCCTGAATATCAAGTCTCTTTCGAACCATCGCGGCGTCCATTTTCTTTTCCAACTCCTGGAGACTCTTGTATTGCTGTACTCCTTCCCCGATGATCACATCTTCCACGCCCTCGGGGATAGTTTTATCAGTCGGCTTCCGACTACGTCGCAGGGCAGCATCGTTGACCTGTGGCATGTTGCGCTGAGCGGCGGCGTGAGCGGCGGCCATGTATTGCGGGTTAGGGATGCCTTGTTGAGGATGAGGAGGCATAGGCATAGCTGGTCCTGAGGGAGCCAAGGAAGTTAGCAAATCCGAACACCTGCGCGGCGAATCAGGAAGAATTTTGGGTTTGACTCGGGCTCGAACCTGGGCCTGGGCCTGGGGCGCCGCGACGAGGTGTGGCGGGAGAACGCTGCGCGGCTTGAGGGTAGCCACGAGGAAAATTGGGCTGCATGGGGGCGTTCATCGCCATGCTGTGCTGGACAATGGAGACTGGATATGAGGTGCACCAGTGAAGAAGGCCGTCAAAATCGGCAATCGAGATAATACGTGGATTCTTGATCCGTAGGGCTGGCCGGTTGTCGTTGGGCAGTCTGGACATTTAACAAAGTCGCGACGGTCAAGGTTGTCTGTCGGCCCTGCCGCGTTCACACGCTAAGCCGTTTACGGTAACACAGAGCTGCCTCCTGTCCTACAGGTAGAATGTAGTGCTCGCCAGCACCCTAATTTATCATTACGACTATACAGACTACGTGATATAAAGTCACATCACATAACATGCTGGAATTGGATGCGGGAATGATCCCATTTCTAATCGTTGCGACATCTTCCTGTCTTAGTCCTCTCCCTGCCCCCAAAACAGCGCGTTATCAAGCTCTCTCTCAAAGCCCAACGCTTCCAAGCAGACAGCATTTGACAGCACTTTATTCCAACAGAGACGCCTGATTAGTGTACAGTACTTCCACCACGTTGCTCAACTTTTCGATCGTCTGCAGTGCTGCGTCATAGGCTTGATCCCTCTCGGTCTCCTCGAAAACAATGAGACATCCAGCACCCTGGTCCAACACGCCAGTGATCACCTTGTCCAGAATCATCTGTGACAGCTTCCTCTCAACCTGTTGCGTATCTAATCCGACCATCTTGGCGATGTGGTCGATCTCCACACGGCTGAAGGGCTCGATCACCTTGATGAGATTCTGCTCCAACATCGCGTCGTAAAGTCGTCGAAGGTGGTTTCGGATAAAGACATCACCTCCCAGCTCATATCGGTAGTCCGAGAGGGCCTTCTCGTACTCTTCCAGGGATCGGTTGGCGTGGGCGCGTGCCACAGCCTTCATGGCTTCCAGCCGCGGGCTTGCGTACTTAAGAGCCTGCTTGGAGTTGAGTAGACTCGTCACATCGTCGACGAGGTTCAACATGATCTTGCACAGAAGCATATATTGAAGCGCTGCCGTCGCCTTCTCGGAATCATCGAGCGAGCTGTAGCCCTCTAGAGCTTCGATGAAGTAGGAATAAGCCGTGTTAAAATCTTTGTCCTCGGCGTGGAGCATGCCACTCTGCATATCGAGACCAGCTTGGAGGTTTGGAGGAGTATAGACAGCGGATGCAGAGGTGCGAGCAGATGTGAGAGCAGCGCGTGCTTTGGCCTGGTTGCCGAGGGCGTGGTAGACCCGAGATTCAAGCAGTTGTATTTCCACAAGAACAACCTTGTCATCCAACCGTTTGAGCTCTCGGAGCAGGGAATTGATGAGCGTCAGGGCATCGTAGTAGGACTGCTTCTGCATGTAGATCATAACCAAGCGGGTTTCCAAGCTCTGTCGAAGGAAAGACCGTCGTTCTGAGACGGCCCATTCAATGCAGGCCTTGATCACAGCAATCTGAATATCTAAGGTGTTCGGGATCTCGCTGAGCAGATCAAGAAGTTGGCGAACTAGAAATCATCACTGTAAGAATCTTACTGTCACTTTCAATGCGCCTCCCGTCAGACCACCACTTACCTAGCTTTGCTGTCTTCGCTTTGGCGAATGACGAGAAGACACCCCAGCTTGTTTTGATCAACTCGGCCAGTTCCTGAGGTCTCCTGCCATCCCTGTACAGTTCTCCCAGACCGATCAAAGCTGCTTCATAGTCGCGCGAAGCACTCTCTGTTGTCCCCACTCCTTGGGACAGGATATCTTTGTAGATGTTCTCGGCTTTGGATGGGTCCTTGGACGAGAGGGCCTTCGCTTCCTCTATCCGCTGGGCGACAGTCGCGGAGGAAGCCATGTTGGACGACTGACGCCGCTCGTATGTAATATAGTGGAGAAAGGAACGACGAGCTACGGAAGGCTCGAGTGGTGAGAAATTGCTGCTGTAGCGAAATGCGGAGTGGTGCTGGTGGATAGAATGGAGCTGGCTGTAGGCGGACGTCTGCTGGCCAGGCTGACGGAGCGTCACCAGCAAAGCTCCGGCCACCATCGCCGCGCGCTAGCGAATCACCCACTCAGCCCAGCCAAACTTTTTTAGATCCGCCGTCTCCAAAAGTTATGCAAACTGCACGATTTTAACCCGTGGGCATTTTTGCACCACTCTGAGCCAATATGGTAAGTAAATTCCTGGTCGCTGTTTCTAAATTCATCCAGCTCATAGATTGCACAGAAAATCAAGGCTCTCTCGCACACTGCTGCCTCGCAGCAAGCTCCCGGGTCGAGTATCGCGAGGCAGCCAAGGAACCTCGACCCGGCACAGCATCCGTTCGAACGAGCTCGAGAATACACACGAGCTCTGAATGCTATAAAGATGGAGCGGATGTTTGCGCAGCCATTCATTGCACAACTGGGTAGAGGTCATGTCGACGGCGTGTACACCATGGCCAAGGATCCGGGCTCGCTGGAACGGTTTGCGAGCGGTAGCGGTGATGGGGTAGTCAAAGTCTGGGATTTGACGAGTCGGGAGGAGATTTGGCACACCCAAGCGCATGAGAACATTGTCAAGAGCATGTGCTGGACGTTGGATCGGAAGCTGTTGTCGTGCGCCAGCGACAAGACCGTTAAGTTGTTCGACCCGTACAATTCTTCACCAGAAGCACCGCCGCTGGCGACCTATCTGGGACAGACCGCTTTCACCGCGGTCTCTCATCACCGCGATCACCCTTCCTTTGCTGCCTCATCGTCTGTCATCTCCATTTACGATCTGTCCCGACCGTCATCCACCCCATCCCAGACTCTCCACTGGCCGACCAGTACAGACACCATTACAGATGTTGCCTTCAACCAGACGGAAACATCCATCCTCGGATCTACCGCCACAGATCGATCAATTGTGATGTACGACCTCCGTACGTCGTCACCGTTGGCCAAGGTGATCTTGAAACTCGCATCGAATGCCATTTCCTGGAATCCCATGGAGGCCTTCAACTTTGCAGTCGCCAACGAGGATCACAATGTATACATGTTCGACATGAGAAAGATGGATCGAGCCCTGAATGTGTTCAAGGACCACGTTGCTGCTGTCATGGATGTAGAGTTCAGCCCAACTGGGGAGGAGTTGGTTACCGCGTCCTACGACCGTACAATACGTCTATGGAATCGAGCTGCTGGACATTCGAGAGATATCTATCATACAAAGCGAATGCAACGGTATGATTCTATTATTCCATTACTCTGTCTATTGTTTATTGCTATCATTATGCTAACGGTGCTTGCAGGGTCTTCTCGGCCATGTTCACCCCGGATAACAAATATGTTCTCTCCGGTTCTGACGATGGTAACATCCGAATCTGGCGTACCAATGCTTCGTCACGTAGCGGCATCAAGAGTGCGCGCCAGAGGCAGAAGCTCGAGTACGACCAAGCACTGATCAACAGATACTCTCATATGCCTGAGATCCGAAGAATCAAGCGTCATCGTCATCTGCCTAAGGCCGTCAAGAAAGCAGCCGATATCAAGAGAGAGGAGCTTGCGGCCATCAAACGAAGAGAGGAGAATGTTCGCAAGCATAGCAAGAAGGGTACTATGCCACGCCGGAGCGAGCGTGAAAAGATGATTCTCGCGACTGAGCAGTAGTCCGTCGAGTCGATCGGCAGCATCGCTGGCATTGTGCACAAGTATGCGGGGTAACATCTTTCACATGCCATATTCCATTGGGGTATTTCGAGACGTCATTTTTTTTCATTTCTCGGTCATCCAGAGGGGTGCCATCTAAGACATTAATCAAATGTCACGTCAGAGCAATAACATCTTATAATAACGTCATTCCGCGTCGATGACCTCCACGTCACTTTCTGATCTGCTCGAAGATTCAGATTGGGTTCGAGGGGTCTTTCCCGCGAATGCCTTTGCTATTGCACCATCAATCCCGCTTAAATAGCGGGCAAGCCGCTGGATCGAGGCAGGCAACACCGCGTACCAGTTCACCAGTGCAGCAAAGGCGGGTAATCTAATCACCCCACTTGTTCCTTTGTCGACTGCAGAGACGATTTCATAGGCGACTTGGATTGGTTCCAGGACGGGTGCGAAGAACCCGTTTGGTGTCTCGACTCCATCAAACAGCGGAGTGCACATCTGGCCCGTTTCCACTAACAGCAATTTGATCTTCTCGTCAAGGCCCGACGCTCTGAGTTCGGCTTCCAGCGTCCTATGCAAAGCACTGAGGCCCGCCTTGCTGGCAGAATAGTCTGCCAGACCAGCAGCAGTGAGCTGGCCAAGGACAGAACTCACAGTGACGATAGCGCCGCCGTTTTCTGCCGTGATCATGCCGGGCAAGAAAACTTGGAAAGTGTGAAAGGGTGCGAGCAGATTGGTTCGGATTGTCTTCTTCATCGCATCTGGGGAGAGGGATAGAATGGTCTGTCCGTTGATCCCGGCTGCCAGGCAGTTGATAAGCACTGTTGGTTTTCCAAGCTGTGAAGCATCGATCAGTAAAGCATGTGGGACAATTATTAGATTTAGGCAACGAGAACGCGAAACAGAATGAAAAATACGCATGCAGAAGAGATAAAGAGATATAACTCACATCGTCCTCGATCCTTCTAGCCGTCAGTTCGAGAGCCCTCCTATCTGAAACATCACATTGATAATATTCCACCCCTGACAGCTCATCCCAGCCCTCCACCTCCCCAACTTCCTTGATATCTAACACTGCAACGCTGGCCCCTCGCATCCCGTAGATCTGGGCGATAAGCTGGCCCAGTCCACTGCCACCTCCGGTCACCACAATCACCTCATTGCTTAGATCGACCTCGCGCGGGGTGCCGTATGCAAGGCGGTGATTGAGCACCCTTGCCGCTGTAAAAAGCGTCAAGAGGGTGGCGTAACCGACTGCGATGATGAAGGACGGGTGATCCGTTGGGGTGGCCTGCGCACGGAGACAGAGAACCACGATCCAGGCTATGAAAGGATGGAGAAAGGTCTGATTGAGGACTTTGATGAACAGGTCGAGTGTGAGGTGCTGGTACCATTTCTTTTCAGGTCGAGGGGTCAAGCCCACTGGTTGTGAAGTTATCTTTTCCATAGTATCGTTATGTCTCTTTCGACTCTCGATCCTTCCTGACCTTTTGGTGATCTTTCTGGAATTGAAATCGGGCGAGTTGTATGAAATTAAATTGGTCGAAAGAAGGAGATGGAAGAAATAACAATTGTTCAACAAGGAATAGACAGATTATAAGAGAGTACCGCCGGGGCCGTTCAGAACTGAAAGGACAATCAAATTAATTAACCACCAGAAAATGTATTTTTGACCAAAGGAACCTAAGCACACACTGGAACAGGCGGATGTATTATTTATTTCCTTTCTTCTCAGTTTTGGCTTGCCATGAAAAATGATGAAGCCACAGGTTTGGAGCTTTGCCAGACATCAGACGAGACGTGGTTGAAGCTGCGGTTGTTTCACCCAAATTCGGGGACTCGAAAGCTAAGAAAGCTGATGCAGAAATGTGAGACACAGCCCACAACCAACACGTCAGGGTTTCATGGATTATGGAGATTGAAACAACAGTGAATGATTGCTCCTGTCTTTCCTGCAGGTTATCTAGTAGTTGATCGGGCTGCTGGGCCTTGGTACGTTGCTCGTGTTATGTTTAGGCTGCACCTGCTGCAGATGCCACAAGCCACGTGCCTAAGGTGTTGTAGCAGGCGGTGTGACTCTTTCTGCCTGACAAAATCTACTGCCCCACTCTTATCATCCCATATGTCCTGCTTTTGTTCTCTACATATGGCGGGATTTGGACGTTGTACTGTGCAGAACATGAAAATAGATAGGTATCTTCAGATGAACTTGATGGTATTCTTTCTCGTTTTTCAGATGCACTGCTAAACATAAGAATCACATGGCAAGCTAAATCCAATCCTCCAAACACCACTAGTGATACAGAACAGCCCCGAGAATCGCATGCTCAGTAACACTGATTTGACGCCTTTCCAAAAGAATCGGTCCCAGAGATCCATCCCTTGATACTGTAACCGCAGATCAAAATGCCAAAAAAACTCCGTACATACAAAACAGGTCGAGTGGTTTTAGAACGTTTGTTTTGCGCAAAACGACCGCCAGGGTCTCTTTGGAACATCATCCTCAAGTAGCCTCATGCACTGACAGTAATCCACATAATGCTTAGCCTCGTACTGAAGACAACGGTAGCTATCTTCTGACCTAGGACGTATTACGCTGCACCTCCGATTGACGCAACGCCGTGTAGCGCGTGACTAAATGTAGGACAAGCAGGATCGTCCAGCAGCATGTCAAGATCTTCGCTTTCTGGGGGGAGACGGAAGCCGTTTCCAGCTCGCGGGTAAAGTCGATGCTCTTCAAATTCATATTCCGATCCCGAATCCTCAGAATCATCATCATTCTGCGCACGACGTGACTGACCCGAGGTGTCTGGTGCTGGAGCGCTAGAGGCTTGCTCAGTCGTCTGTGGCATATCTGACGACCCATCATTCTGGATGTTGACTGGAACAACAGCGGGCGATGGATCAGCCTGGTCAGGGATCGCTGTAGATTTGGCTGGTGCAAAGAATTTGGATTTTTCTAGATCCTTCAGATTTGAAGGAAAGATCGAAAGAGTTGGGTCGCGGTCCGAGAGACTCATGAGCAGATCAACAAGAGCTGCATGAGACAGGCCAGACAAATACCCGCGTTTTTCTTCTGCCGAAAACATCTTTCCTCCGACGCGAGCTCCCGGCAATTTCTCAGCAACCCGAGAATCATGATTAACAGGTCCAGCATCGTTTGATGACTGAGGCTTTTGTGGCACTTCTTCAACCGGAGGTTCCACCGGTCTGCATTCTCTGCAGAACCATTCCGCCTCTTTCACTTCGATCACCTCCTTTTCAATTGGAGGGTCATGACAGAATTGATGCCAGGCGCGATTGCATCCGTCACAAAAGACTATCATGTTGGTCGGCGGGCTATGGCCTCTTTGGCAATGTGCGCATGTAACATTCAGCTCATCACCCTTGCGATAGACCTTCCTCTTCTTTTTCGGCGATTTAGCATTAGTTGCGTCTCCTTTAGGAGCGTCCGAAGAATGGGCCTTCTGCTTAGTTGCGGGCGGAGCAGGAGGGACGAATAGAGAAGGTCGGTTAACCTGCCGACCAGATTTCGTCCGTGTCGCGATCGGAAAGTTCGATTCAGAGCTAGAGTCGTCGGCTCTAACATTGTCGTCATCGCTATCTTCGTTCCGCTTGCGTTTCTTGCCTTGTTTAGAACCATTGATGCCCTCTTTGCGCTGACGAGAGTTTTCTGTTTTCTTCCGGCTTGCGGGCAACTGTGACGGCGTTTGAGATGAAGCCACAGAAGCGGGTGCAACCGACTGAGGAGGAACTGCTGGTGATTGATCCGGTTGTGCAGCCGGCTTTGGCGCGATGTTGACAAGTCCTGGCACCCTAGGATTCTGCTGAGATGGAAGTACAGGAGGACCCGGAGGTGCAGTTGGCACCGCCGTCGCAGCACCGTGGCTGGCAAAGGGAGGTGGAGGGAGCGGGAGAATTGCGGAGGACATCTTGATCTTGCCCATGTTGTTCAACTTCATATTGGAATTGTCAGAGGCCGGTCTGACAGAGGGAGACAAGTTCAAACCAGTGAAACTTGTTGGAGGATTGCTTTGTTTTTCGACTTCTGTTGCCTTGTTACTAGTAATTCGTGCGATGAGTTCGGTGGTAGCAGGAGACAACTTGGGAATCAGAGGAACCTTGGGGTTTTTATATTGCACGCCTGAAGAAGAATTAGGAGAATCAGGCTTTGGCTGAATAGGCGTAGCGTTGTATTGTGCTTTCGAGAGTGAATGAAAGCTATCAGGTGAATGCTCACTCGATGCACCGTTCATTGATGCAGCGGGCTGGGCCCCCGCCGGAGGGGGGTCTGGACCTCCATTGTGTTGGGACATTGTATTGGCAGAACTCGAATGAATGATCAGGAACAGCGCCCTGAGCCAGATTCCATCGACTGTACAGTTTCATCTACCCGTGCAGAAGTACATGCATTTAGTGCCAAAATCCGAGCATTGTCTATGGAGTACAGTATCATCACGTGATCGAGGAATTTTGACTCGACCCAGAATAGGATGATGAGACCAGAGACTTTGGAGATTTGAAAGTTGATTTACTCGCATGTATGTACAAGCCTTACAGCTTTCGTTTTACTCGACCGGCTTAGAGAGAAACTACCTGGTTTATGCCAGGAACTTTTGGCCCCCAGCCCTACCTACTACGTACACATAGGTTTTACCCAATTTCCAGGTGGGCTCCCTGGATATATTTCGTCATCACCTACCCTCCGGGCTCAGTTTTCCATGACTTCACGCATAGGCCGACGAAACTACATGATGTATGTACACCCTGAAATGGCTCCATTGACTATATATCAAGACCCGTGGTCGTTACGCGTAACTTATGAGATAACACCGTCTCGTTTCAACGAAGCGATTTCCTCGTCGCTGTATTGTAGCAGATCTCGGAGGACCTCGTCGGTGTGCTGGCCAAGGGTCGGGGGAGGCGTTCTGACTCCTGGTTTAGCATGAGAGTATTTGATCGGTGTGTTCACAAGCTTTATCGGTCCACAGGCTGGATGATCGACCTCAGTGACCATGCCGCGAGCTTGGACTATAACTTGGTCAGCAGAGTGGGAAGAATGATAAGTAATATTGAGGAAACCAACCGTGTGCATGATTCAATGTGCCTTGGATATCGTTGACGGCTGCATAGGGCATCCCGCTGCCTTCAAAGATCTCAAGCCACTCCTGCGTCGTCTTCTGTTTCGTCTCCTCCTCGATCATGTTGTCGAGCACTTCCCGGTGCTTGACTCGGCCACTGTTTGTCACAAAGCGAGGATCTGTCTTCCATTCGGGGTGCCCGAGCCGGTCGCTCAGAACGCCAAACAGCTTGTCATTCCCGCCTCCGAAGAGGATATCGCCATCACGCGTCTTGTAGCTTCGATAAGGAACGATGGAAGCTGGTGGTGGATTAGTAACTCGACATTAACCTGGTATTATCTCACGTACGATGCGCGGTGCCCCATCTTCCCGAATCTTTCTCTCCACTTATTAACGCAGAGCTTGCCAGATTCGACAGAGTAGCAACCTGGCAATCGCTAAGACAAGCATCGATATGCTGACCCTTCCCCGTTCTTGCTCTAGCGATCAGGGCAGCCATAATCGCATTGGACGTGTAGAGCCCCGTGGTCAGATCCGTTACCGCCACTCCCACTTTGACAGGAGGGCCGTCCCTTGACCCCGTAATGTGCATCAATCCCATTTCGGCTTCCACCATGACATCGTAGCCTGCCCGGTTGCTGTACGGCCCAGTTTGGCCGTATCCGGTGATACTTGCGTAGATCAACTTCGGGTTTATGGCACTGAGGGTCTCATAATCCATTCTGTACTTCTTGAGACTTCCTGGCAGATAGTTTTCGACGAGCACATCACATTCCTTCGCGAGTTTATGGAGGATCTCCACGCCCGATGGGTGTGCAAACGAGAGGCCAACTGACTTCTTATTCCGGTTTACCTTTTGAAGAACATTAGCAGGAAGACTTCTGCATACCCGCGACAACATACTGCCAAATAGTACGCACTCTCACCAGGGCCGTCCTTCGACTCATCTTTGTATTTTGCAAAAGGCGGGCCCCAAGCTCTGGTATCATCGCCTCGTACAGGGTGCTCGATCTTGATTACATCTGCTCTAGAAAGTATATTCAAATCAGCATGTATATTCCGAAGTTGTTTGGCTTGCTGAATCTATAGGGTTGTAACGGGTCGGCACATACCCCAAGTCTCCAAGGATCTGTGTACAGTAGGGCTACAATGCATGTTCAGCAAATTTTAGAAAAGAAAAAGCGAACTTTCCCAAAACTTACACCAGCCAGAACCCTGGTCATGTCAAGAACCCGTATGCCTTCCAATGGCAGAGTTCCTGGAGGAACTGCTGTCGAGTAGCGCCGCCATTGCGCGACACATCCTGGTGATGTATTCGACAAGGCGTACGCTGACCGCCGTAAGATGCTCCGCAATGCTAATGTGACTGTCATATTATCAGCACTGAGCGATGCATACGGTATGTCAAGTGGTTATATTGTGTCGTTGCGGAGTCCGGTCTGAATCCGCCGACATGTCGGAACTAAGCCGAGGTCGGCCATTCCGTCCCCTCAGCGATCTTTCCTCCGCACGAGAGCAGCTCAGGTTGACGATACACTGCTGAGACAGCAAGCTGCGCATCATGTTCACCGGCCTTGTCGAAGCAATAGGGAGTGAGTTTCTAGAAAAGGCAATCTGCTATGCCGTGAAACTGATTGTTCCCCAGCCGTTACGTCCCTCGAACCCCTGGATACAAGCGCAAGCGGGGGCGGGGGAACCTCCCTGACAATTTCGGACTGCGCGGAAATTCTCACTGATGCACATCTCGGGGACAGCATAAGCGTAAACGGTAGGTATATAATCCATCTATCTCTTTGACGTGTTCCCATCCGCACTCCTAGTGCTAAGAAAAACATCACTTGTCAAGGAACATGCCTGACTATCACCGCCTTTGATAAGAACTGGTTCAAGGTTGGCGTTGCGCCAGAGACCCTTCGCCGGACCAACTTAGGTTCCCTAAAGCCCAATTCTCAAGTTAATCTTGAGCGCGCCGTTTCCGCGTCGACCAGGATGGGTGGACACTTTGTTCAGGGTCATGTCGACACCACTGCGAAGATCCTGTCGGTCACTCCGGACGGCAACGCGCTTACATTCAGGCTCCAGCCCAGAGACAAGAGTATCTTGAGATATGTTGTTGAAAAGGGCTATATTACGCTGGACGGTGCCAGTCTGACGGTGACGAAAGTTGTCGATGGTGAGGATGGCTACTGGGAAGTCATGCTCATCGCATACACCCAAGAGAAGATCGTCACGGCGAAAAAGAAGCCCGGGGAAGAGGTGAACGTTGAGGTCGACATTGTCGGAAAGTATGTCGAGAAAAGTGTCCAAGGCTACTTTGCTCAGGGGTCTGGCGGAGACTTTAGCATCTTGGAGAAGATAGTAGGAAGAATTGTGGAGCAGAAACTAAAGGAGTCATCGGCGTCGTAGTTGATTCATAGAAGAGTACTACGACTGGATCATACGGCTCATACGAAGTTCTACCACGCTGGGAAGTTTTCTGGTGAATGGACGGATCACTGAATTTTTGCTTTCCTGGAAGGAAAATTTATAGCTAACTAGGTAGGTAACAACGATACCCGAATGAACAGGGTCATTTGGAGCATAGTGAATGAGTTGGATGCCACCAATGCAATCAGGCCTTGCACGCAAGACCTGGCAGGAGGTCTGTTTCTGAGACACTGCGATATCCTATGGAAATGGTTCTTTAATTCTTGGCACCATTTCCCTCGCTTGTTTCTCTATGTTGACCCCCTTCGATGAACCCAGGATCAGTAGTAAGAGGCACAGTTACATCCTCACTCCAAGTGGCTGTTATGGTTAGCCCTACTTCGCTAATAATATCGAAGTGACTCAACCGCGCTGGCGAGGGCAGCATGTTTTATGCTGCGCCGGAAGCCTTACTGCTACCGTGCCATTCATATGGCCACTGCAAGCATGGTAATAGTCTCGATGAAGGAAAAGAGTCGTATATCTCTGGTCCAAGCCAGTGGAGCAATTAAGATGATCATTCGAAGCGTTCATGGTGTTCAATTCATTCTTCCATGGACTCGTCATTGTCGTCGTCCATTTCCTGTTCAACATCGGCTTCCTCATCAAACTCGTCGCTGTCCTCCCATGCGTCATCCATACTCTCATCCTCGTCCTCGGAGCCCTCGGCACCCTGGCCGCTAGCTTTGGCCTTTGCTTTCTCCTGTTTCTTTCTCTCAATGTTCTCTTTCTGTCGTTTCTTCCGTTCTTCCTTTTCCTTCCGTCTCCGCTCCCAGGTTTCATCCAGCTCCTTGACCTCTTTCTCCGTCTTCGAAACGAAATCGTGCCACATAACTCTTCCGCCACATAGACCTTCCTCGACTTTTATCAACTTCAACTTCATGCGGGGACCTAGCTCCACCAGCTTCACAGCTCTCTTTTCAACATTCGGCTTTTCGGTTAGCTTTTCTGGTTTTTTCTCGCCTGCTTTCAACCGTTGCAGTTCCCGCCTATTCAGGACCTTCTTCGTAGTACTCTCGGCGACTTCCACTTCTGCGTCGGTATCCAGTTCAGTTTCACTAGCCGAGAAGTAGCCGGCGCTAGGATCGAGTAAATAGTCTGCGACATCTTCCAGCTTCCCAAGGTTCGGTATGTGCTTTTTCTTATCCTTGTGGCGCAGCTCCGCTGCATCGAGCCGCCTGATTCGTTTGGGTATGCCGGTTTTCCTTGTGGTAATGGCGTAGTGTCTGAGATTTAAAATGTACGAATCATTTCCGGAGCCATCTGGCGGGAGTTCTCTATTCACAAGCATCACACGGCGAATAGAAGAGAGAGGTGTAGTTTGTGGAGAGATCGGCGGGAATAGTGATTGGAAGACCGTTGTGGTGAGAGATTCAAGACGTTTGGGAACTTTGGAATTTTCATCTGCATTGGGCGAGTTGAAGTTGTTCATCACCAAGAGAGGGGGCGTTCTGTGGTCCTGTCCACCGCCTCTGGGATGTCTCAACGCCTTTTCAACGTCCTTGCAAAGGGAATAACTCTCAACTCTGAAGTGCAATGTCGGTCCACGAGGATGAAGTGCGATTCGCATGTTCGTATTCCCTGTCTTGGATTTCGAGAAGAGAATCAGATGGGTGACACCCAAAGGCCCGGCCATCACCACGTAGTCCTTCAGCTTATTGGCTCTGCGTTCCTAAATAGGCTGAAGTTAGAGTCGACAATTCCATCATAAAGTGGTACAATCGAGGAATCTTACCTTTAAACGACTGGCCGTATCAGGTTCCATCATTAAACGAAAATCTTTGACCAGCTGGCTCACACTGGACCCAACTTCTCCTGCGCCGATTCGAATGACCATCGACTTCGGAGAGTTCATGGAACTTCCAGACGCATTCTGCACCCGCACATGGGTGCGCTTCTTCGTGCGTCTTCTTGCCATTTTCGACCTTCTGATCGAGAATGGATTAAAGAAAAATTAACAGATGAAGTTGATAACTTCAATAATCCTGCTCTGAAACTTTTTTTGCCGGTCGCTGATAATCAGAAAATTGGAGAAGGGCCGGATTATTGATTTTGCGGCGCGCCAAAATTATTTTTTGCGGATCGCCTTAATCAAACTCCGCGGGGGAACAGATACCATCTCATAACCGTTTGGGATAGATAGCCCAAAATGCCGGCATTAAAGAAAAGGAAGATTGCGCACGAGGGTTCAGAAGACTCTAATAATTCGAGTTCTTCGGATCGCGAAAATTCACCCGGAAAAGAGGTCTCCAACAAAGAGGCCCGAGATGGAGATGCTCGACCGCAGAAGACATTTAAAGATCTAGGAATCATTGATCAATTATGTGAAGCCTGTGACACGCTGGGGTACAAGAAGCCTACTCCAATCCAAGCTGAAGCGATACCTCTGGCACTACAAGGTCGTGATCTGATAGGGCTTGCGGAGACTGGAAGTGGGAAGACTGCTGCATTTGCTCTTCCTATCCTACAAGGTTCGAAGTTCTTGATATTTCGCATACGAGGGAACGGTAACTGACATGATGCAGCTCTCATGGATAAACCGCAAGCATTTTTCGGCCTTGTATTAGCTCCTACTCGCGAATTAGCATACCAAATTTCTCAAGCCTTCGAAGCTCTCGGCTCGACAATATCGGTTCGCTGCGCTGTCATCGTCGGAGGTATGGACATGGTACCGCAAGCAATTGCATTGGGGAAGAAGCCTCATATAATCGTTGCTACGCCTGGGCGGCTACTTGATCACCTTGAAAACACGAAGGGGTTCTCGCTACGGACGTTGAAATACCTTGTCATGGACGAGGCAGACAAACTCCTTGACATGGATTTTGGTCCTATTCTCGATAAAATTCTCAAAGTTCTGCCGCGGGAGCGACGCACCTATCTCTTTTCCGCCACCATGACTTCCAAGGTGGAGTCCTTACAGCGAGCGTCTCTCAGCAATCCTCTTCGAGTATCCATTTCCACCAGCAAATACCAGACCGTCTCCACTCTCCTCCAGTCTTACCTCTTTTTCCCTCACAAACATAAGGACATTTACCTTGTCTATTTGTTGAATGAATTCGTTGGTCAATCGGTCATTGTCTTCACCAGGACTGTTCACGAAACACAACGCATCGCCATTCTCCTACGAGCTCTCGGTTTTGGGGCAATCCCTCTTCACGGGCAACTTTCGCAGTCCGCACGGTTAGGAGCCTTGGGGAAGTTCCGTTCTCGCAGCCGTGACATTCTCGTTGCGACCGACGTCGCGGCAAGAGGTCTTGATATTCCTTCCGTCGACGTGGTATTGAATTTTGACCTGCCCCCCGACAGCAAAACATACATTCACCGTGTAGGACGGACGGCACGTGCAGGGAAGAGCGGGCGTGCTATCAGTTTTGTTACGCAGTACGATGTGGAGATCTGGTTACGCATCGAAGCTGCTCTAGGGAAGAAACTGAAAGAACACGAAATCGAAAAGGACGAGGTCATGGTCCTGGCTGATCGTGTCGGAGAAGCGCAGCGACAGGCGATCACGGAAATGAAAGAGCTAGAGGAGAAGAAGGGTAGCAAAGGATCAGTATTGAAAGGCAAACGTGGGAAGGGTTTGAAGCGTAATCGGGACGACATGGATCAGGAAGAAGGTTGACACGAGTATTTTCCTTTTTTCTTTTCTTTCTTTCTTCCATCTCTGGCAGTACAGAAACTTGGTTATTGGATGTATTTGCAAAATACCCTGAAATTCAATCACATCTATTGTAGAAATACTGATTTCCACACAAAAAAAAAACTGTAAGCATGCTGCATATTAGTAAGGGATATGATGAGAATTACGATAAAAGAAATAAAAAAGTATTATATATATTAAGCGTAGGAAGCCTACCTGGAGAATAGATGATAAAGACATACATAGTTGGCAGGCCTGAGGTCAGAACTTGACTGTTAAGAAAAACGGTCTAATCAATATGTACCGTGACTAAATTTTATTTTCTCAATAAAACTATTCTAGGTATGATTCATGTCGTTACAAGTATTATTCCTTTACTTTCCCCCGCCTGAAAATCGATGACGGATGCTACCCTTTCCATGGGAATTACATTCCATCCTCTCTCTCTTTCCCTGATTATTATCTCATCACTAAACAGATCAATCCGTAACCACCTGACCTTGTGACGAACGTGCATGCGGCCGGGTTACGTAGGACTGTGGTGAGAAATATGGAAAAGTGTAGGAAGTAAACGGCGGGTTAGCGAAAAGGAGCTAGCAATGTTGTTTAGGTAGACTGCACTATCTCAGTGACGGTGCCTGCGTCCCGAACAGCATTCGCAACACGCGTCGCAAGGTCGTCGGCTTCTGATCGGCTTGCAGCCTCCGCATAGACACGAACTGCGTCCTCAGTTCCACTTGCACGTGCGAAGCTCCGTCCTTTGTTATAGCGGGATTGCAGAGCGTCGATTTTGGCTTGAAGTCCCGGTGGCGATTCCAGCTTTCGGTCGGCATCGTATGCTTTGAATATCGAACGATTTGGGACTTCAATGCGAACGAGCCGAGAAGGCAAGTCAGTGTACGTGCCAAGCCACTCTTTCGGGGTCCATCCCTTGTGCGCAAGGATGGCCTCGACGAGCAGCATGTCTGAGATGGCATCACCAACAGCTTGGTTGATCAGATCCGTGAGACCAATCAGACACTCCAATGCGTGCTGCTGGGCAGGGGACTGAGGTTCCGCACTCTTGATGATCTTTAGAGCGTTTTCAGAGAAGGTAACGGTGCCGTGACCATTGGCTTCGAAGTATACTCCGACATCAAAACGCAAAGCAGCATGATGAAGGTGCTTGACT